ATGCTAACGGAGCATGACTGAGCAGGCTGGGTCCGATCAGCACTTTCAGCTGATACCCTTATGCACCTCAAAACTCAGCACATCATAATCTCTTGTCACAATGGTCCTAGTAGTAACCCCCTTGATGAGCAGACCCCACTGTAGTATTGGGCATTACAGGGATCTTTGGCTCAGGTAAAAGAAGAGTTACTGCAGAGCAAATGGGGAGGACAAGGGGAAGAAAGAGTAAGTGAGGTTCAGAGAGAGAGTATAGCAACCAGCTTGACCATAAAAGTTATTTATTGCCAGGTATATGGACTTACGATGATACCAGTAGTAATAGCCATACAAGAGAGGCAAATAAACAGTTACAATATTACATAGTTTCAATTAGGTTTTTGGGGAAGTCTAGTTCGTGTTTGATTAGCAAAAGTCAGGTTTAAAAAGCTGTGCCTGGAGTAGGAAAATAAAAGTCAAGTTCCTGGAGTTAGAGAGAGAGAGAGAGTGATCAGCAAAAGTCTGGTATAGAAAGCTGTTCCTGGAGTGAGAAAGCAAGTCAGGTTTAGAAATATGTGCCTAGAATAAGAGAATAAAAGTCAGGTTCCTGGAGTCAGAGAGACAGAGAGAGAGGGACAGAGACAGAGTTGGGGTCTCACCACTCAGCAAAGCTTGAACCAGTTGAAGTTCCCAGGTGTTTGCTGGAGTTTGCAGACAGGCAGAGCCCTCAGCATGATCAATGGAGGGAATTCCAGGCAGAAAAGGAGTGAAATTGGTGCAGCTTTTTTTTGGATCCAAGCACCAATACAGAACTTGAGCTTTGGGTAGGGGGTTTGTAGAGAACTAACAATGGCTCAAGGGGAAACACTAGGTTTGTTTACAGGTAAATGATGGCTAATATGGTGGATAATAGGAACTGATCACTCCTGGCTATGGGTGGCATTAACCTGAGGGAGCTCACAATACAGACAGGCAGATTCAGTGTTTTGGATACCAATAGAGGAGTCATAACTAGAATTGGTCTGATAAATGCTGAGCTGGGTGAGTGTAGATGTGGGTTAATTAGCATTTGGAGCAAGGATTCCCCATCATGCAGTGCTCCCCTGCTTTTCTCATCCCAGAATTCAGTGCGGTCCTTGCCTTCAAATCTTTGTTCTCCATCTTGAATGCTAATGAAGGTGCATGCCTGTCCCATTTCCCACTTAAATGAGTTGTCATCCAGTTCCATCTCTGATGCAAATGAGACCAGGGGAGTTGCTTCACTCCTATCAACTTTGTCTACAGGGGTTTAGGTGCATCTCCCACTGCATCTTCCTTGTCTTTTGTAGGTCCTTCCTCTAATCAGTTCTTGTTCAGGCAGATGTGGCAAGGGGGAGAGTTCTTTGTGAGTCAGACAGGCTGTGTACTGTGCCAGTGTTCCCCGAGATCACAGAGCTGACAGGTAACACAAGGGGTGAAGGAGACAGGTATCAGTGGCAAGGTTAGGAGATTAGGGGTGGGGTTGGGGTTCATACTACTTGATTCTCCCACTTCCTACCCCCATGCATTTCCCCTGCCATTTACCTCCATACTTGTCCCCTCACCCCTGCCACCACTTGCCCTGGTGCAGCAGTGGGGGAATTAATTTAAGAGGACTCTCCAATAATTACATTCTATGCATGGAAAATTATAACACATTTATAGTTTTCCATGTATAGAACCTAATTATTGTAGGGACTTCTTAAATTGGGGTCATCTTCCATTCAGGTAAATACTGTATATCACCATTGGGTAGGGCTTCTATCTATTTTGTATTGGATAGAAAATAGAGAGATCAGAGGGTCATTTAAGCTGGAGGAAAAACATACCACTTAGGGTAATGTCCTTATATGTAGTAGTGCAAAATTCCTTCTAGCTCAAATGAATATTTTGATCCATTTTGGCCCAAACATTGTTAATTTTGCAAGTTGCATAAAATCATCTATCATTTGCTATTAACAAAAGCAGTGATACAGACCACCTCTTGTAGGTATGTGAAATATCATTTCAGAACAAACCACCAGGGAATTATTTCTTGACTTTTCCTTCCTCGATTAAAATTTAAAAAGTGGGTAGACACTGGACCATGTAATCCAGATGTAGCTGAGTCCAGAGCACTGGGAAGACAGGATATATACCTTCAGATTTTTGGAAGGAAAAGATGGGATTTTTGGTACTTTACTAGGTGTCTCTCTCTCATAGTTTGGGCTGTCCTACCTCTTAGCTCACTCCAGGGGATCAGAGACTTTATCTTGTGAAGAAGAACGGTTCATGTATTTTAGTTTAATCCTCCCAGTTCTTATATGTACCAACTGCTTCAGAGAAAGCTTACATTGAAAAGACTTGTTCTTCTACTTCTACAATATTTAAGTTAAAAAAACTTTCTTTTTTGCACATTTCAAGATTTGTAATGTGTCTGTCATTTGTAAAGATGTTTTCCATGCATGTAGGTCTGAAGGAGAGAGACTGTCTTCATTTTGTGTCTTGTTCAAATACATTATTAGCCCTTAAATACTAATGTTCCTTAATGAAGTGTCAATGAATTCTATAAAGTATAAATGAATTTCTTAAAGGATATGAGCAGAGATTAGCACTTTCACATACCAGAAGGTGCATCTACAGGTGTGCTTTACTAAGCATTAGACTAATTTAATCTGCATTGAAGTATAATCATCTACATATGCGCCACAATTAATTTACTCCAGGGTAGGATAGTCATGTCAGACACGGGTGCTGTCTTATGCTGCAGTAAATTACGGCACTTAAACTCATGTATAGACAGTGACATCAGGATTCATTTAAGCAGCTCAAATTGAGCCAGGATATATTCAGTCACATTAATTGCATGTGTAGTTGTGCCCTCCCATATCTGTATTTTGAGAGTGAGTAACATGGCCTGTAACTAGACATACGTCGATGTGAGCTGCTCACTGTGCAGTTGTTACTGTGCAGTCATTTAGTGCTCGCATAACCAAGAACTAAATGACTGTGCAGTAACCAGTGCTCCTATGAAGTAGCATCCCAGCACAGTTGCCTAATGATGCTTACTGCACAGCAGCTCATTATTACTGTGCAGTAGCATCACATCATGGTTCTCCCAGAAATGCTACTGTGCAGTAGTAATGAGTTACTGAGTAGTGTAGATGTGGCCACTGACTGCGTCTACACTTGCATTTGATCTAGGATCAGTTTACTTGCAAGTAAGCTACTTGTGAGTAAATGTTACAGGGCAGGCATCTACACATGCAGGGCCATGGCAGCAGATTTGCTGCTCCTAGCAGCGTACAATGTACAGAATACCTGTTGCCTTGCAAAGGGCCCTTGGTGCCACTGGGCAGGACTTGAGCCTCTGGCCTCTCAGCCTCTCCTCATAAGGCCTGCCCTCTTGACCTCTGATCACATGTGTGGCTCTCCTCTGGACTCTCACAAGCTTCTCCACATCCTTCTTAAAGTGTGGAGCCCAGAACT